ATGACCACATGATTTCAGTCTATTGCATAACTGGGAGTTATCTTTATTTAGGTGAAGAGTAGACAAGGGGCTCCTGGCTTCTAAAAATACAGTTTTCTGGTGAGTGATCTGAGAATGTCACCTCTTGAACCTCCGTTGGCTCAGTGGTAAATTGGCAACCATGGTGCCACCTTCCTAGTAAGGCTGTATTCAGTCCCAGGTGCTAAGTGCTTGGTGGGCACCCCACTGCTTGGCCCCAAATCCCCACTTCTCCAGGGTTCAGTGGGTATGTCCGGGTGCCCCCATATGAGGACTAGCTCTCCTGTTCTGTCTTTAGCACCCCCGAATTTTCCTGCACTCACTCCATGCCACTGTCTTATGGTGGCCAGTGTTAAGGCCGCACTGCCCTGATCCCGGTAGGGCTCCATCCCTGTGAGTGGCCTGAATGACCGAATGGCCAAGCCTTGCTTGTCTTTCACACTCAGAGAGCTCCTATATCCCGTAGTGACACTGAACCCTACCCCTCAGCCTGGCTTGGACTGAGGCGACAGATGCACTCAGGCTCAGCATGTGTTATTTCTCTGTCCATGATCCCAGCTCCACCCATGAATAAGGTGAATCATTGAAGCACTGAGACTCTCAGGCCTTTGAGAGTAGCCCTGAGGGGGGCACCTGAGACCACCGCCTCCTTTCCTGCCTGGGTAGGTGGATCTTGAGTCCTGGTGTGCATCATGTCCTGTATCAGGAGGAGAGGAGAAGGATCTGAAGACATCTGACTGCCCAGCGTAGGCACTGGCTGGAGTGGGCTGCCTCTGGTTGTCTGGCCACTGCAGACCATGTCCCAGTGTTGCATGTTGGTGGGAAAGTGAATCCTGAGGACGAGACTTGCAGCGTTTTGTTCAGGAAGAACTGCTCCCCACCAGATGCCCCACGGAGACCCGTGGCTGAGAATGTGAGCGGGGCTTGTACGGGGACTTGCGGGTCACTGGGATTGTTGAAATGGAAATCCTAGGTTTCCATGGTTTCTGTGCTGATTCCTACCACTTCTGTGACTTGGAGGGCAGTGGGGTCCTGGGGCCTTTTCTGCCTGCTGCACCAGGGCCGAGCGGGGCGGGGGGCGGCACCGGATGCCCTTTACCTGAGGAAGGCGCAGGAGGGGGCAGTTTGCTGAGCCTTCTGCTGGGACCTGGCCATCGTGGGCACAGGGCTCAGTTCAGCAATCCTGTCCTTCCCGCACTGTCTCCTTCCTCTTTTTTCGGATTTCACTTCTCTGAGGGCATGCTCAGTTGCTCAGTTGTGTCCAGCTCTTTGCGACCCCATGGACTATAGCTCACCAGGCTCCTCTGTCCGTGGAATTTTCCAGGCAAGAATACTGGAGTGGGTTGCCATTTCCTTCTCCAAGGGAGCTTCCTGACCCAGGGACTGAACCTATGTCTCCTGAATTGTCAGACAGCTTCTTTGGACTTCTCTACTGAAGAGGAAAAATTTGGTCACAGCCAGATTCATGAGTGGTTTCTTTGCTACAGTTCTGAGTATGGGTTTGAAGCATTTCTTATTTAACTGACTAAATGAAATGGAATCAAGGCACTCCCTGGGGAGGGTGGGCAGCCTGCCTCCAGCCGCTGTTGGATGACTCAAAGGGTGTGATCCCAAGAGGCACTCCTATCTGAACCTCGAGGACACCCTAGTCCTGCTGTCTGCAAATTAGGGTGACTTGTACAGCTCCTCTGAGCATATTGGTGCAGAAAGCCACCTCCCACGGGATTGTCTCTGTATCTAATGGGAGGGTCCAGCGGGTTTGTCAGAATGATGTTTGTTAATCAGACACCAGGCATGTTTGTGTTTGTGAATCTTCACATAGAAACTAAACACAGGCACAGACCTCAGGGACGACGTTGAAGGTTGGGCTCCAGACCATTGTCATAAAGCAATTATCGCCTCAATAAAGTGACTCAGATATGTTTTTGGTTTCCAAGTGCATATAAAAGTTATATTTATACTATTCAATTCAGCTCAGTCGCTCATTCGTGTCTGACTCTTTGTGACCCCATGGACTGCAGCATACCAGGCTTCTCTGTTGATCATCAACTCTCAGCTTTTTCAAACTCACATTCATTGAGTCGGTGATGCCATCCAACCATCTCATCCTCTGTTGTCCCTTCTCCTCTCTCCTTCAGTCTTTCCCAGCATCAGGATCTTTTCTAGTGAGTCAGTTATTTGCATCAGGTAGCCAAAGTATTGGAGTTTCAGCTTCAGCATCAGTCCTCCCAATGAATATTCTGGACTGATTTCCTATGGGATGGACTGGTTGGATCTCTTTGCAGTCCAAGGGACTCTCAAGAGTCTCCTCCGAAACCACAGTTCAAAAGCATCCATTCTTTGGTGCTCAGCTTTTTTTATGGTCCAACTCTCACATCCATACATGACTACTTGAAAAACCATAGCTTTGGCTAGGTGGACCTTTGTTGGCAAAATAATGTCTCTGCTTTTTAATATGCTGTCTAGGTTGGTCATAACTTTCCTTCCAAAGAGCAAGCATCTTTGTATAGTCTGTTAAGTATACAAGAGTGTTATGTCTTTAAAAAACAAACAAACAAACAGTGTTCATACCTTAATTTAAAAATACAAAACGAAAAAGTAATCACAATAGTAATATCAAAGAGCACTGAGTACAAATTACCATCACAAATATAATAATTAAAAAGTTTCAAGTATTGTGAGAATTATCAAAATGTGACACAGAGATACAGAGTGAACCAGTGCTGTGGGAAATGATGCAGTAAACGTGCTGGATGCAGAATTGACACAAACCTTCCATTTGTTAAAAAAAAAAAAGTGTCAAGTGCAGTAAAATTCTGGAGCGTACTGTGTGTGGAAGGGCAGGTCTCAACCCAAAACTCCGTTTTTCTTGTCTGCAAAAAGATGCAGTACACTGCCTTAATTTAGTGATTACGGGATTTTCTCTGTGAGCCCGCGTGCCTGGGCTTGGCTGTTGTGGGGCGCCTGGGTGGTGGTTTGTCACTGCCCCAGCAGAGGTAGGCACACGTGAGCACATCCCAGTGCCACAGTAGTGTCGTGTCCCCCCCCCACTTCCTTCTTTCTCCAGGGGTGTCACAGTGGGGTGGAAATGGTGCTGGGGTCCCTCCTGTCTGCACTGCAGTCTGAGAGGAGGGCATGATCTGTCATCTGGGGAGGCCTGGCCTCTGATGATTCTGGTGCCTATATCTTTGCCCCTTGAGGAATGGCAGACACACCCTCCCGGGAGAGCGATGCCTCTGTACAGGGCTTCCCAGGAGGCACTAGTGGTAAAGAATGTGCCTGCAATGCAGGAAACATAAAAGACACAGGTTCTATTCCTGGGTTGGAACATCCTCTGGAGGAGGGCATGGCAACCCACTCCAGGTTATTCTTGCCTGGAGAATCCAATGGAAAGAGGAGCCTGGTGCACTATAGGCCATGGGGTTGCAGAAAGTCAGCCATGACTGAAGTGACAGCATGCACACGTGTCATCGATAGAAAGAAATGCTGCCATCGTAATAGCCTGCAGCAAGTCTCCAAAACCACCAAAGCTGAGGTTCCCCAGACCCTCTGCCGCATCCCCCATAAAGTGAGTCTTCATTGGTTGGGGCACGGCTGAAGGATCTATGATGTTTCTTGTGCTGAACAGTGGGGAAGTGGATGTTGACTGTTGGTGCTTGAATTAAGCTTTCCCCTGCCCAGAATTCCTCACTGTTAAGAGTCGAGCGATCATGCTCAGGAGCCTCACTTAACCCTGCACCTCTGCAGGTGGTGTGGCCTTCAGGGCACTCTGGCCCCGACTGGGGGTGGGCACGCACACGGGCTTGCTCACACCACTGGCATGTGCTCAGCCATCGTAGGTCACACCCAGCCCGGTCCTATCCCAGAGCCCCCGGCACCGTCCACGACCTTGTCCTCCCCAGAAGCTGCTTCCGAAAGGAGTAGGCAGGCTGTCAGAGCTGCTGGTTGCCTGGGCTGCTTCCTCGCCTGCCCTGTGACTCTGAGGATGCCCCCTGGGTTTCATGTCCACACATAGCAGGCCCTGTGGCTCCCCTGAGCAACCAGTGTGAACCTTTGATGAAACACAAAGTATTTTTTGGCACTTTGAAATAAAAAGTTGTACTGGTTACAATTCTGGTATCACTATGCCTGTACACTGGAATTGAGCAAATAAGCAGGTAGATGATTCATGGTGGTAACAAAGAATGGACAAAAATTTTTTCTTAAAGATGCAGCACAACATATAATGAAGGTGACCGTTTGTGTAGACAAGTGAATATGTAAACCTGTTTGTGACTCAAGAAAAGATTTCTGTGTCTCTGGTCTGAGTGGCTGTTACTTCCTCAGACTAGAGCAAGGTGCAAGCACTCCGACCCCAAAGTTGACCACCAGTTCCTTGAGAAGAGATGGATTACTAGGGCAGAGGCCTCAGACCAAGTCCCTGCGGCTATTAGGCAGCCTGGGTTCTTTCAGTCTTGTTCTCCCTGCGCACTCCATGATGAGGAAGAAGCCTCGATCCTGGGTCCCAGCCTTTCTTTGTTCCATATGCTTCCTGAGCACCTGTGGTCGGCTGGGCAGTGTTCTTGACCTTGGGGAACCAGCCAGGCACGACTCCCTGCTGGTGCTGACGTGAGAGAAACAGATGGGACATGGACAGTGGTCATTTCACCCAGTAAGAGGATGGGTTTCGAAAGGGTCATGCTGGGTGAAGGAAGTCAGACACCCAAGGATGTGGAGTGTGCGATTCCATGTACATGAAGTGTCCAAAGTAGGCAAATCCATAGACATAGAAAGTAGATGAGTGGTTGCCAGGGGTTGGAGGTCGGGGATGGGGAGTGAATGCTTAATGGGTATGGAGTATGACTTGGGTGATGAAGATGTTCTGGAACTAGAAAAATTCAAAATACAGAGTGCCTCTGAGAAGTTTTAAAGTTGGTTTTAATTGAAGGTCAGTGTTCTCCATGATGAAAGCGCCTGCAGCCAACTTGTCTCTCTCCTAACAGGGGATGAGCCACTCGGGGGAAGATTCCGGAAGCTGAGCCTTGAGCAGTATGATAACGAAGCTGGGGAGCAGCCCACCTTCTCCAAATGCAGCTGGGGAAAGACCACCAGTTCAGAACAGACTCCAGGCCTGGCGCCTTTTCTCTCCCCAGACAACGCCAAAGAGGTATACACACTGCTGCCCAGAGCCTGGCCTGAGCCCTGTCCCAAGTCGCCAGTTCAGTTCCCCACCCAGCTTCGTCCCCATCTCACAAACATGGTTCCTCCCTGAAGGCAGGCCTGCCAGCTGGGTGGGACCCCCCTCTTCCGAGAGAGCTGTTGCCAGCATGCACTTGGTCATCTGGGTCTCTGTGTTCTGATCTGTAGAATGGGGATTGAGGGGTGGGCCAAGTATGCGATGAGTCGGGAGGGTAGAGGTCTCAGAGCTCCGTGGGTGGACAACAGCGGCAAAGGGCAAACGGAAGTCATCTTAAAGGAGCCCGAGTCCCTGACCCAAAGCCTCCTGGGGTCCCTGGGAGGGAGGAGGAAGAAATATGGTCACTGTGGATATGTGTCCTTTGGGGAGATCTACAGAGTGTTTTTGACGAGCCATACTTAAGGCTTTTAATCAGAATTGAAGTAAGACAGGTCGGCAACCTCCCAACGATGAACCTTTTGAAATTAGGGTTTTGTTTATTCTCAAAAGTGGAGAAGTTGGAACCCAGAATAGACCAGAAAGGAAAGTTGCTGAGAACCAGTGTTAATATCTGGGATATATCCTTCCAGCCTCTTTTCTATGCCTTTGTGTTTAATTCATTGGGTATTTTACATATCTGTAAACACATTACAGGTGACAAGTCTTTTATCCTGCTTTTTTCATTTAACACTCATTTCCCTCTGCTATATAAACTCTCTGCCATCTCTACTTACGAGCTATGTAATGTTGACCACAAAACACTTCCTTCTGCCTTGACTGTTACTGAAGCTTCTTCCAGTTGTCCACGGCTGCCTCCTGTCTCCAGTCTTAGAAGAGGGCTGGCTCAGTGAGGGCCAGGAGCCCTAGCTGTCTGGAGGTGGCCTCCACCTGACTTCCACTTTGCCAATTTCAGGCAGTGATCACCATGTATCCCCCAGACCTGGATGTAATCGATGGCAGGATCTTCCCTCCAACCAACAGTGGCAGTGAGTCCATCTCTCCCACCCCTGCATTTCCTGTGTCTCCAGAAACGCCATATGGTAAGAAAAAAGCAGAGCTCCCTGTGTGCAATCCCACCCCTTCAGAGCAGAGAGGGGGACAGCTCCTCACTCTGCCTTCTTTTCCAGGGATAACAAGCCCACGTTTCTCTCCGTTCAGCCCATCCGCGCCACAGATGGGCAGCCCCAGCGCTCTGTATAAAGGAGCTCATGGTAAGACACCCACCTCCTTTCCTCTGCTGTGGACGTCCACTCATGCAGAAATATTTCTACGTGTGTCACACCTAAGAAATGTGGTTCTGGCTGGGGAAGATGCAGGGACACAGCCTGCAGCCTGCTGGGGGTAGGAGTGGCGTTGACTATTTCCTTCTGTTCACTCAGCACTTTCAGGTGTTGACGGGTAGGGTCGTGGTGTTCTCAGCAGCCGAACATCAATACTTTTCACCTTCTTGTAGCATTACTTGGAGTTGAAAGAAGAAATGGAAACACCCGACCCACCCTTTTCAGAGAAAGTCAGGGCTACTTTCGGAGAGCAGTGAGCTCCCCACTCTGAAAGACAGGGCTGCCCTCGCCCCTTGCCTGCTGCAAGGCATCCCGTCTTTTATGTTCACAGAGCCCTGTCCTGACTCCTTACATCCTCAGCCACCATCCTGAATCTCCCCAGTTGAGTGGCCACTTCGGATTTGTCTGCTGCACCCTGCCCCCACGTCTCCCAGCACTTCACATACTTGTGGGGTCTAGTTAGCCTGTGCACCGGCCCTGGGAAGGGAGCGTTAACATAGTGGCGGTGGGTTACTCAGCACTCCTTCCTGGTATGGACATTGCCCAGCTCCCTTGAGACTCCAGGACGGCCTTGCCCTGGGCAGGTGGAGGGGGGATGGAACCCAAGCTGAACTTACATTTTAGAATCACTCATCTCTGTAATTGGGGATTCCTGCTGTTCTGCCCTGGGGAAGGTGAGTGAGGGTTCCCTTTGCTGCTCATCAGATGCGCTTTGGTGGGAGGGAGAAGCAGACTTTGTGTTTAAATACCGTCTTTTATGCAGAGGAAGTTGTAGTGATGACAGCTAGCTCCATTTTCCCTCTTTCTCCAGAGAAAACAAGATCTGTTTATCATTTAATAGGAGGGCCATTTTTCTTCCAAAGTTTCCTTTAAAGTTTTAGGTTGCTTGCATGTCTTGGCTATTATAAACAGTGCTGCAGTGAACATTAGGTTGCGTGTATCTTTTTGGATCATGTTTTTCTCTGGATATATGCTCAGGAGGGGGATTGCAGGGTCGCATGGTAGAGGAGCTGTTTAATCTTAAGAACACCTTCTGAGTCATCCATATTTTCATGTTGGCAATCCTTGAGGACGTTTGCCCAGGAAGAGCTCAGAGACATACACACAGCACTGACTGGGGGTCCCATGTGCTTTGCAGTGTATGGGGGGGTATGGCTGACCCCTGAGACACAGTGATGGTGGTGGTGGCTCCCATGTAGGGACTATATTCAACCCTCTTCTTTACAGCAGGGTTTCTTTTTCAGTCTTATTGTGATGTGTGATGGGGAAGAGCCCTGGACAGAGTGGTGGCACTCTGCCAGTTCTTATTGGTTGTTTACCCGGTGAGGAGATGTGAGGGTTTGAAGGATGAGTAGGATTAAATAGGAGTTAACTAGGTGAATGGAGAAATAGCAGGCACAGGCCCTGTGGCAGAGGGCCCTTCAGACCAGGAGAGGATAGAGACCAGGGGTCTGCAGGGTCCTGGAGGTATGAGCAGAGGCCCAGCCACAGCTGTTCTCTGTAGCTATGGAGGTAGTGGTATGGCATCTGCAAGCAGTGCTAGGTCATTACCAAGGCCTGAGACAGGGGGACTGCTCAGGCTTCTGTTTTCATATATTGATCCGTCTGCTGTATGTAGAACAGCAGTTGGAGTGGGCAGTGGGGTGGAGCAGCTCTGACAAAAATGCTTTCAGAAATGATGGGGAAAAGTGTGTTGGATTTGTGGGAGATTCACAGGTCAGGTAGTGTAATCAACTGACTCTATCAGAATGGATTTGAGCTTTGATGACTATTTTTGATTTTGTTGCTATTAAGATGTCAGTTATGTTCTGGCTTCTTTTAGTTAGTATGCAGCTAGTATAGCACTAACCACGTAAAATTCCTCTGTGTGTGTTATTCCATCAGCCTGAACTTGGTACCAGGTTAGTCAGTATAAGGGCTTCCCAGGTGGTGCAATGATGAAGAATCTACCTGAAATGCAGGAGACCTGTGTTCAATCCCTGGGTTGGGAAGACTCCCTGGAGAAAGGAATGGCTACCCACTCCAACATTCTTGCCTGGAGAATTCCATGGACAGAGGAGCCTGGCAGGCTGCAGTCCATGGGGTCGCAAAGAGTTGGACATGACTGAGCGACCAGCGCTAGTCAGCATAAACCCAAATGTGTCAGTTTATTTCCCAGCCGGCAGACAAGTGTCAGGGAGAAACAGCAGGACACCAATTAAAGGTGGTAGAGACACATTTTATTTGGTACTATTGGAGCAGGGTAAGGAGCTGAGCTCAACTCCTAATGCAGCAGAGACAGCCCAAGAGCTGTGCCAGGGTCAGGGGATGAAAAGTTACCAAGAGGAACATCGAGGAGAGGGAGATTATTGCCAAACTGGCCCAGCAGGACCCTGCTGAAGATAGGCTCGAGCATCAAGGGTGGGGATGAGGAGCTTCATCTGCGAGCAAGCAGAGGAGATGACTCAGCAGAATCATTGCCAAGACTGGGCCCTCCAAGGACAGACATCAGAAGCCAAGGTTGAGGTGTTGTAGAGAAGCTCCAGGACCCTATCTCGGGTTTGGTCAGGAAGGGAGAGTTTGGTCATGGGAGAGGCCCGCGGTATCCCCTCTCACCTGGCATCTCTGCCCTCTGCTCGGGGTAGCACACATTCTGTCCTGTGCCCCTCCAGGTCCTGTGGCACTTAGTTTAAGCCCCTAGACTCCAATGCCAGGGGTCTCAAGAGCCTCATGGCTCATCCCATGTCACATGCACCTCATTCTCACCCCTCACCTCTGCAGTGAACAAGTAAACAGAAAGCATGCTGAAGTTTCTTGGTGATAGATGGTGGGTCAGAACCCACCCCCTGTTATATTCCTGTTGCCCGTGGCTGTGTCAAGACATCTCCTCTTTTAAGTTACAGTACTCACTCCAGGAAAGTGAGGGATATTTAAATGTTTACTCAAACAATGAATACTTAAATATGAATTCAAATATTGTTGAATTATCCTAAGCAGTGTGCTGTAACTCAGAGGAGATGATAGCTTCAAGGACTGGGGCCAGGCAGCAGGAGATGGCTGGGCCACTGTGGGCACTGGGAGGACAGCTGGCGCCAGGGGCTGGACCACGTCACAAGGGTCTGACGCTACCGTGAGCTCCTTGAGTAGACCAACAGGTCCTACCCACCTAGGACCCTCAAGCAGGAGCCTGGAGTGGCTCCCCTTGGGACTGTCTCCAGTGCATCCCTGACACAGCCTACGTTACTCCCTAGGAGACATACATCTCTGGGAATGCTCTCTTAGAAATCCCAGGTATGAGTCTGTGATATTGTGATTTATAATAAGAAATATATATTTAGTTTTATTACTGCCACCAAACTCCTAAAGCTTTTGGAATTTCTTAAGTGATGAGAACATAAATGTGATTTTTGTCTTGTTAATGAGATGACTTTTGGAAAAGATGGGGGCCATGTTGTCAAGGGAACTGACCTTGTGATTAGAGAGTTGGAACTCTCGGTTTCCCCCTCCCCCAACCTCCAAGGAGGGGAGAGGGCTGGAAGTTGAACCAGTTGCCAGTGGCCAATGATTTAATCAACCCTGCCTATTTAATGAAGTCTGTAGAAAAATACCAAAGGACAGAGTTCAAGGAGCTCCTCAGTTGGTGATTGCCTGGAGATTTGGGGAGAATGAGGTGCTTCGAGACAGCATGGCAGCTCCATGCCTTTTCCTCTCTCTCTAGTCTGGCTGTTCGTAGTTATGTCCTCTTATGATAAACTGATGAGTGAAATGTTTCTCTTGAGTTCTGTGAGCCACTGTAACAAATTATTGCAACCTGAGAAAGGAGTTGTGAGAACCTCTGATCTGTAGCTGGCTGGTCTGAAGGGAGGACAGTCTTGTGGGACTGAGCCCTTAGCCTATGGAGTCTGATGCTGTCTGCATGGATGATCAGAGTCGAGTTGAATTGTAGGACCTCAGGCTGGTTTCAGAGCATTGCTTGTTGGTGTAGGGAACCACCCCGGGCATTGGAGTTGGGTGCAGAACATTTTAGAGCCCCAGAAGGAAATGTGTTTCTTGAAAGCAAAAATATTAGTAAGAGATTAGGTAAAGAGGTAATTTACTATCAACCCTTATGAAGGCAAAAGAGAGAATTATGAAGTGCAAGATGTAAATTACTGTTATTCCTATCTGAAAGGCTAAGTAGTCTTGATGACATTTTCGAAATAAATGGGAAAAAAAATGAAGAAAGGCCTCATTGAAAGTGTATGATTCTAGGGGGGACCGGGATGGGGAATACATGTAAATCCACGGCTAATTCATTTCAATGTATGACAAAAACCACTGCAATGATGTAACGTAATTAGCCTCCAACTAATAAAAATAAATGAAAAAAAAAAAAGAAAGTGTATGATTCTGATATAGCTCAGCTTCCAACTTTGAATAATAATAGGTTTTTTTTTTTAATCGAGATAAAATTAACATAAGTGAACCATTTGTAGTGGACAGTTCAGTGGCATTTTGTGCATTCACAATGCAGAGGACCATCATCTTTAGTTACAGAACATTATCTTCACCTGATGGTTTTACAAGTGGGATTTAGGGAACATTTGGGGAGCTTTCAATGAACACGATTAACAGCATTAGTTTACTGAAAGGGAAGGCCTTTATACATTTTGCAACTTATAGTTCGCATACCCATGTTTCTGAGAGGAGGGCTGGTGTTTTCAGGGCCCTGCCTGGGGCTGTGGGTGGTGATGTGAACGTGGAGGAGGGGCTTTGACCCAGGACTGCTCTGAGCTGCAGGAAGGAGGCCCTGGCCTGCAGGGTATGGGGTTTGCTGTTGAAATCTCTTGGAGTTGGTGTCAAAGGGCAAAAATGGGTGATATTTGCTGCAGGGAGGAAGAAAAGGAGTATCCAGGAATGTCTTGAGAGAGAGAGATTAGTTTGAGGCAATGCTTTATTTTTGTTTTAAAAAA